CTAGTGGTTGTCCCTTCAGGCTTGTTGCCAGATACACTGCTTTTTGCTCCTCTGTCCATCCATTCATTTCTGCCAGTAGCTCAAATTGCGCTCTATATGCTTCCCATGGTGCCTTCCCATCGAATTCCTGTGGCTTCCTTCGTACTAGATCACTCCTATTGCTGACACTCATGCCTGGAATGTGACTTCTGACAGGACTGAAGATGTTTGCATTAGGGTTTAGCTGCGGGATCTGGAAGAGGCTTCCTGTTGTCTGGGCTGATTAGATCCATGGTTAATATATCCTCCCTGTGTAAAAGACAGTAAATCGTCCTTTAATGTATCTAATTCATTTTGAAATTTACTAATGTTTTCCATTTGTACTTCTTGCCACTGTTGTTGACTTTCCTGTAGTTGCTGCTGACTTTCCTGCAACTGTTGGAGACTTTCTTCCTGTTTCCTTTCTTGTTTCAGTTGCCACTGCTGTAGTCTCTCTTCTTGTTTATTTTCTTTTTCCTCCAACAACTGCTGTAATCTCTTTTCTTGTTTATTTTGCTGTTCGAGCTGCCATTGTTGCAAGTTTTCTTGCCACTGCTGTTGTCTCTTTTTTCTTGTTTATCTTCTCGTTCTTTTTGTTTCTTTTGCTGTTCAAGCTGCCACATGTTGCAAGTTTTCTTGCCACTGCTGTTGTCTATTTTCTTGTTTATCTTCTTGTTTCTCTTGCTGTTCTTGTATTGCTGCCATCAAATCTGCTAAGCTGTAATTTGATTTGCCACTTCTCGTTTCCATCTTCTTTTTTTTTTCTCTCCCACTCTCTGACACCAGTTTGTTACATATCTGCTTGTTTGATAATTTCCGGTAAATTTTTTTCGGAGTGACTTCAGCGATATGAGTCCCTTCTTGATTAAAACTAGTTTATTCTTTCTCGTTACAAACTTTAATTTCCACAGTCACTTTAAACTTAACAACCTTTATAACACACGATACAATTCACAGCGATTCACACACTTTACTTACGGTGCCTACTGTTCGCTTGACTCAATTATTTCTCTCGGACATTCGTGAGGTTGCCCGATAAGTCATGGTCCTTCTAGAAACTCCAGCGTGCATGCGCCCAGCGTCACGTGACTTCCGCTCTCGTAACAATATCTTTATTTACAGTTCATAAAACTTTGATCTTGAAAATGATAACTGGTATTAATATAGTGACAACTATGCACAGTAAGCGTTCCAGTCAGTTTGTAAATTACTGATATTGCAATTAAATGAAAACATATTCATCAGCTTTTGATTTATGGAGATAGGTAACTTTTATTTATCAACTACTGGTTTGTTGAGATGGATAACTGGTCATCAACGACTAGAAACTCATTATTTGAGCGACCCTACTTTACTTGCACCAGTGAAGGACTAATTTTAAAGGGGTGTTAATTGAATATAAAGAGTCAGTACTTTAATGAAGTAATAAAAAATCTGCAATTGTACACAAAGTAAATATCAAACTACGTTTCTTACTGTAAACCTTAAGTAAAAGTTTTCTTTTTTACATTAATATTTAGATACGACTCCAACACAGGGACATTGAGGAACTCAGACATGTTAATACTCAGCTTCAGGCTAAATTAGACACCATTTTCAAGAGATGCAGCTCTCCAAGTTTTGGGCAGACATCTGTTTGCAATGAAAATGAAATGGCATCCCACTCATCTTTAGAAGATGAATTAAAATCACTAAATGGAAGTCAGGTATAAATATTGTTTTTAATATTTTCAGTTGACAAAGCATTGATTTGACCTAAAATGAAACATTTATAATGTAGATTCCATCATTGTAAAAACTAAGTTTTTCTAAATATAATTATTTCTACAAAATGTTCTGTAGAGTAATCTTATTTTTGATTAAAATTGAAGGCTATAGGCATTTAGTGTTTTAATAAAAGCAATACAATTAAATACTATTTAGTATCCTATAAATATGTAAAAAAAAGTGGAATTACATATACTTTTCAGATTTGAAAGCTGTAAAATAATTTTTTTTATCATTCTTGTCATTGTATTTTCTTCTAAAATTAGCTTAATTTACTTTTAACAATACAGTTTATATGCAAAAAAGAAATATTCAAATAGTGAACCAATTGAGAAAGAAGAGGAATATGTCTATTTAGATGTAGATTTAATAATTTTGAAATAAACTTATACTTTGATTTTCAAATGTATTATTTCTGAATCCATGACTTTATTTTGGACTCATGTGATATAAATTTTTTTTGAAGGAATTAGGATGCTCTATTTTGAACTCATGTTGAATTTTCATTTGAAAGATTGAAAGAAGTAGCCCACAGTCACAACCAAGTTCATCTGTTGGTTTACAAGGAGATCTGAAATATGAGAATATAGAAAGTGATGATTATGAAATGCTACCATTCACTGAATTTCCCATTCCAGACTCTGAGGATGGTTGGAAGGTAAGAAAATATCACTAAGCGAGAATAATTGTTTGTTGTTGTTGTTGTGTGAATTGAAAGCTAAGAAATATTGATTAACTCCACCCTTATGGGTCTTCTTAACACTTATTTCATGAAATGTGTAAATAAAATACATAATTGTATTAATATGTATATGTTGAATATTGATTTTAGTATTAATATATATATGTATATATTATAATAAATTTTGTAAGAAATAAATTAAATGTTTTAATTATGATTTATTGTTTTCCTCCAAAATCCTCTACTTGGATATACCTACATCACAGTTAGGGTAGAAAGTAACTTCTAGGGATCATACTGCTCTAAAACTTTCAATGTTTAATTTTTTTTTCAGTTTCGACAGGAATTAGCTGATATATACTATCAGATTAAATTGCTGTGTGAGGACCTGAGGAAGAAACGAGACAGTGTATCAATTGACAGTGGTATTCAGTCTTCACAAGATGAAATACAAGCACAAAATATGCGCATTGGGATGATAACAGCAGTACTTAAAGAATTACGAGCCCTTACGCATGATCTTTTAGCTAACTACAGTGAACTTGTAAGCATTAACACATTTTCTAACTAATTCATATTCCAAACTATCAAGCTTTTTGTGAAAACTAATATATATTCTAAACTTTTTCTCAATAACAGTTGAATCTTATATTACTTTTATAATAATCAGTGGCATTTCTAGGATTTTTTTATTTGGGGAACATAAGAGGGGCAAAGAATTAGTTTATATGTGTGTTGGGGGCAAAAAATTATTAACACCTTCACTTAGAGAATTTAAACATCTCAGATGAAGGGGTTATTGGGGGGCAGAACTCTCCAGTGAGGATTGTCTGTCAAACCCCACATCACCCCAGTGGATATGCCCCTGATAATAACACATTAAAATACTTCTTTGACTTTTTATGGATTTTGAAATTTGCAACCTAATCATAAAGTGGTTTAGAGATGGTAGTTCTGTTCGTCATACACAAATGTGAGGAATATGCATGGCACAGCTGGTCTTTAATTTCTTATTGAGACAACATTTCAGAATTTCCAAATCTATTGCTCTTCTTTGGATTAATAAAGTAACTGTATAATGAAACTAAATATTTAATTTCAGCCCTGCTCGGTTTGTAAAACTATTGTGCATGAAAGAGACTTACTGGAAAAGGTCCAGAAGGAACTTAAGGAGAAAACTGGTGATCTGAAAATGAAGGAAGAAAATATTTCTGAACTTGTAAAAAAGGTAGCTTCTACAGTATATTGTTACGTCTCCGTTTGTTAATTAACTTTCCGTAACTTCGTTCCGATGAAACTTTAGCGACACAAGTCCTTACTTAATAAAACTGGTTTATTCTTTCCGAATACAACTTTACGATACACTTAATTTCAATATTCGCGCTAAAACAAACACTATAACAAACGAACGTTAACTTCAACAATACCCTGTGACTGCAGTTCAATTACTCCCTATCTTCACACACAATACATCCTTGCGTCACGTTGTCACCCTCTTATATATATACCAGACTACC